TGGAAATATCACTGTTGTATAGTGACTTAAGAAATATTATTAATACTTATGATATTTTATTATCATGTTTATGATACAATAAAATATACTAAATCACTAAACACCTATATTTGCATGATTTTAAGTTGAAATATGTAAATATTCATGTTTTATAGGAGGTTGTGAGTTGAAAAAAAAAATTCACGCATTCGGTTTCCGTTACCGTTACGTAACGCTCGTTCCACCCCGTTTTCGTTACAACGTTATCGTTACCGTTATCATTACGGTGTCCGTTATCGTTATTCAGAACCATGCACCATAGCCTATTAGCCTACGTCTAACAAAGGAGAGATAGAGAGAGTGAGAGAGAGTGGAGATGGAGAACGGACCAAGAAGATGGGGTTTCCGATTGAACGAAGAGCTGAACACGGCGTCGGAACTCACCATAAGAGGCATGCGCTACTTCTTAATGGAAAATCTCAACCAAGCAGACCTCTCGGCCACGGCTACCCCTCAGCGTTTCAATGCTTTCGGACGGCTTCCGTAGCCGAAGATGCGGTAGCCGATGCCGTCCGGTCAGCTAAGTTCAACGGCTATGCCCCCACCGTTGGTATTCTTCCGGCGAGAAGGTACTTAAACTTAAATAACATTGTCACTATTTTACAGTCTATCATTCCTTGTATGAAGCAAGAATATTTTGTTACAATAATTATATCCGTATTAAATATGAACATGATTTGGGCATAGTAGACAGACATATTGGATATTTTTTTTAAAAATTAAAAAAGGCAGCAAAAGAGAACAATTAGAGATCATGCCCGTTACACCTCTTCAGAATGAATCTAGCTAGGCTAATATAGCTATCAACCATCGAGCCCCAATGTAGATTTTGAGATTCAAACTTCCAATCTAAGTTGAAAAGTTCGATCAGTACTCCACTAGACCACACTACTCTGTGGTAGATATATTGGATATAATCCTATATGAATTGGATATTCCAAAAATGTTTTTCAATTTTTGGATATGTTTTGGTTACTCGTCTGATATGATTAGTATATGATAAATATAAAATAAAATAAATTTTAATAAACTTATTTGATGGTCTCAAATAGATTAATTCAACGACCATTAATATCTCTCTTAAATTTTTACCGTGCCTTTAGGCACGGGTTACCCATAGTATACGTTAAAGATAAATGATATAGACGTTTAGAATATGTTTTGGATACATCGTTGATAAATATATTGTTTTTATATTTTCAAAATCGGGTACTCAATAGATAATTGCAGAAAGCGAAATAAAATTTTTAAAACAAAAATATGCAAGTTCGTTTTAAAAAAACAAATTGAGTTTAGCTTGCTTACCAAGCCACCCACTAGAGAAGCTAGTCCTGATAGTCGGCTATGCTATTTATTGAATCAAAGCCTCTTATAACATGTCATTGTTAAGAGAATTTGTGTTCTACATCCAATAAATTAGGATCGCAAAGGTTAGTTTATATACTTGACGAACTAGTCTATCCATTGTTAATTGGTTTTGGAATAGATGTTTTAACATGATGTCAGAGTTAGGTCTTGGGTGGTTAATGGACCAAGTCTCTTACCCATTTGAATTTCTCACTGTGCATAGTTATTTGGTTGTTTGTTAACCCCATGTACAAGCTCGGCTCCCATATGGGGGAGAGTGTTGAGAGATGAGAAGCAGCCCCACCCAGTGACAATTGATTTTAGATTAGATACTCTAACGGTCATTAATCTTACTTCAAAAATTTTACCCATTTAAAAGTGAAAATAGAAGACCGAGGTGAATATTTGTTTACAATTTGTAATATATTTGATATTTGATATGACTTATTCATTCAAATACTTGAATAAAAAAAATCTTTAAATTATTTCATTGTTTTTGTTTCATTAGGAATTACCTAGTTACCCATCCTCTCCCTTACATAAGTTGTTAAAGAATTACTTATGACATGGTTCATCTGATCAAATTCATCAATGCAACATTTGATTATTTACCTAGGGCCATAGCAGAGTCCCTATCTCAAGAACTTCCATACAAGTTATCAGCTGATAATGTTTATCTAACACTTGGATGCGCACAAGCAATCGAAGTCATATTAGCAGTCCTTGCTCGACCCAACGCCAACATTCTATTGTCAAGACCGGGCTACCCTTATTATGAAGCGCGTGCAGCGTATAGCCATCTTGAATTCCGTCACTTTGATCTTCTTCCAGAGAAAGGTTGGGAGGTTGATCTTGATCGAGTTGAAGCACTTGCGGATGAAAATACTGTCGTGATGGTCATTGTGAACCCTGGCAATCCTTGTGGAAATGTCTTTACGTACCAACATCTAAAGAAGGTATGTATCTTTTTTTTTTTTTGCTTGGGGAGGGGGGGCGCATTGTAATTGCATGACTTTTGGTTATTTTGCTAATGGTGAGTGGGATGATCTCCTAGGTTGCTGAGACTGCAAGAAAGCTTGGGATGTTAGTGATTACTGATGAAGTTTAAGATCATCTTACTTTCGGGAGTAATCTATTTGTCCCCATGGGAGTCTTTGGATCAATTGCTCCTGTTATCACAGTTGGGTCGACATCGAAAAAATGGATTGTTCCGGGTTGGCGACTTGGTTGGCTTGTGACAAATGATCCCAATGACATCCTCAAGAAACATGGGGTACTTTCTCTTTCAACTATTACTTTAGGCAATGCAACTGCAATGACCAAAAAACAAGGCAATGCATTTGCAGAAGAGTCGAGACAGCAATTTTATGGCGTTTTGTCCTTCCATCAAGTTTTAGAATTGCCTTGTCATGACAATGTTTATTGCAGGGGTGACTGTAGGACTCAAGAATTGGCTTCGCATAACATTTGCCATTGAGCCATCACTCCTTAAACAAGGCCTTGGAAGGATCAAAGCTTTCTATCAAAGGCGTGCCAAAAAAATACGGTAGGATTTATCCGTTGAAGTTATAAGATCCGGTGGAGCGGGGTGCGTATAATAAAGGTTTTAGCAATGACACCCATTGGAGACTATTAGCTCAGCTCCAAGGATTCAAGTGATGATGACGATGATCAGCTGTGTTGCTTCTTGTTCAATAAAATTCTATAGAACTTTAGAAGAAATGTTATTGAACTTATTAATAAAGTCATAAGATCCTCCTCTATATCTTGTAAACACTAGAAAGACGTATTACTGGACATTGCAGGGAGGTGATCCAGATCTCTGCTCTGCGTTGAAAGGCTCTGAAAATTCGATACGATACGATTATCTGACACAAATTGACACGACTTATGTGGGTTTAAATGAAATCTTAACGGATTTGGATGATAAACAGATTGACACGCCAAACACGTTTAATAAACGGGTCGTGTTCGGGTGAGACTTGTCAAACCGGTTATCACATGTTTATCCGTTTAAATAAAATTAATATAATAATAAATTAATAATTATTTTAAAAAATTAGCAAGAAAAAAAGAAGTAAAGAAATCAATAAAAAAAAAAAGTAAAGTAGTAGTTCAAAAACAAAAGAGAGAAAATAAATAGCACTTCAAAGATAAAGGCAAACCAATATCTTTTGTTCTTGTCCCACATTGAAAAATGAGAGGAGATTGAGAAGATTGAGTTGTCTATAAAAAAACAATGGCCTTTTTTTTTTTTTTTTAGCCTTTAAGTTTTATTTTTATGAGATTTGGTAAAAAATTTCTCTTTTTTCAGATAAGTGCAATTGACAATAAAAAAATAGTGGAGTATTAAAATTTGTTAATATAATTTTTTTTAAATTAAACGGGTTAAATGAGTTATGTCGTGTTACTTATTTATTAAACGGGTCGTATTCGTATTGAGATTTTTTACCCGTTTATTAAACGTGTAGTGTACAGGTTTATATATTTTTTATTCGTCATCCGTTTAACCCGACACGTAACCGTTTAACCCGACACGTTTGACACCCCCATGATATATTTGAAGACAAACTTCATCTACACCCCTTCTAAATAAACATATCTTCAATAAGATTCCTTCTGGTTTCTAATTTTTTTTACATATTAAAATTCGAACCAAAAAAATTTAATTTAAGCTAATTAAAATTTATTTTTTTACATATTAAAATTTGAGTAGATTAAAAATTATACTTTTATTAAAATTTGGGCTAATTAAAATTCCATTTGAGCAAATTAAAAATTATTTTTAATCAAATTTTAATCAACTCGCATTGAATTTTAATCAGCATAAATTTTAATACATAAAAAAATATAAATTATAATTGACTCAAATTTTAATAAATTGGATTTTAATTGACATGAATTTTAATAAGTAAAAAAATATAAATTTTAATTGACTCGAAAGCGAATTTTAATCAACACTAACAACTCATGTATATTTCGAATCGGTTCAAATTTTAATACTTAAAAAATAAATTTTAATATGCCCAAATTTTAATATGTTAAAAAAATAAAATTTTATCAACTTCAATCGAATTTTAATTGGTTCAAATGTTAATATGTAAAAAAATTAATTTTAATTTGCTTGAATTTTAATAAAATTTTATGTAGAAAAATTACTTAAGGTTTATGTATGGACATTTTTAGTATTTTAAATGAATTTGTTTTGTTAGAAATGGAAGTTTAATGGTAAGGAGTGTTAGTGATGTTTAAATATAAACCAGATGGGTTGTTAACGATATTTTTATAATAGAAAGGGTGTTTTTAAAAATATAATAAACTAGGAGGGATATGACTGAAATTTTCCCTAAGAATTATAAAGTTTAGTAGGATATTTATTGTAGTCTTCCACATTTAAGGGGTGATGTTTATTTAATCATTCTTTTTCTGAGTGTTGACTCTTGAAGACCAGTCCACTGAACTTTCTGTCTGATGCCTGTTTCATTGGCGATGTCCTTTTCTGAACCAAATTGACAGTACAAAAAATATTTTATCACGAGATTCTCTGTCTCTCTCTCTTTCTCTCTTGCAACACTGCAACTTCAGTTACAATTCTCATCATCCACTGGTTATATATGGGTGTATAGAGCCTCTTCAGTTTTTACTTGAAAAACCCAATCACCAAAACAAGAGGCAAAAATGGAGATTGGGTCGAGAGACCAACCACCCAAACATGAAGAAAAACTGGAGAATGGGTCGAGAAAATGGCATTTTCATGGGAAACAAGAGCTGAATAGAGCTTCTTCATTATCTGTTCGAGGTATTCTTAAGGCGATAACTGACAATCTCAATGAAGCTGATCAAAGGCCGACCATTATGCTTGGCCGTGGAGATCCCTCAGAGTATCCGTGTTTTCGAACCACGCCAATTGCCGAAGACGCCCTTGTTGATGCGATTCGCTCTGCTAAATTCAACTGTTATGCTCCTGCCATTGGTATTCTGCCAGCAAGAAGGTAACTGAAAGATCTCTCTATATATTTGCATTTACTTTCACAGATTGTCTTGTAGCTTTTTTCTTCACAGCTTTTCTGAGTTACAATTGATTTTCAATTATGACCTTTTAGTCTTAAAATTTCCAATTTTATTTTTACATTGTCCATTTGATCATTTCTGTACAAATAATTATTGGAAGGGAATGCGTTGAGAGACATTATGTTTTTTTCCTTTAACTTCTTGTAGGGAAGAGGATTGGGATGAGATCAAGCTGTTCTCCAAAGATTTTTTTTTTTTTAATTCTCTACTGCATTGTGTAGTGGGCATGCCTAATGATGTTTAATGATTCGTTAGATTAAAGTGTTGGGAAAATAGGCTTTCCCACAAGTGTAAATCAATGGAAGCAATATAAATAAAATAACAGAAAATAAATAAGCACACAAGATTTACGTGGTTCCCTCAAATAACTTGAGGTACATCCACGACGACCGGTAGGTCAGTTTCTTTCACTATCACCAAATCAGATTACAAAGTGGCCAAAAGGCATAAGCCTTACAAACACACCAAGGTGTAAATCACAAGAGGAAAATACCTCACAAAATAAGTGAACCAAATCTCCAAGAACAAACCGCAAGAAACCCAAATATCAAGTGAAGAAATATTACCCACTTGAAGAACAAATTTGCAGATTTTTCTGGCACCAAAAAGGAGAAGAATAAGGCTGAATTTTTGTTGAACCAAAGACTGCCGAAAAATATGTCTTCTTGCCAAACCAACAGAGAATAGATGAACCAAAGAAAAGGACAAAACTTATAGTCTTTGATGGCTGCCAAATTCCTTTTTAACTAGAAGACTCCAAACCAAGCCTTGGATAAGAGTCCTACACGGGTAAGCCACCAAAAAATTAGCAAATTGATGAGTCCCACAAAGGAGGGAAACCCAACAATTCTCCCCCTCCCGACTTATGTGGAGGATTCGACCATTCCCGCCAAAAGTCGACACTTCTCATGCTTGTCCTTAGTCAATGCCTTAGTTAACATATCCGAAGTGTTATCATCAGTGTGAATTTTTTCAAGTTGTAACAACTTATCATTCAAGACATCACGAATCCAATGATATCTAACATCAATATGTTTCGATCTCGAATGAAATGAAGAATTCTTGCTCAAGTGGATTGCACTCTGACTATCACAATGAAGGACATACCTTTCTTGTTTCAAACCCAACTCTTGTAAGAATTCCTTCAACCACAATAATTCTTTGCAAGCTTCAGTGATGGCGATGAACTCAGCTTCTGTGGTGGAGAGAGCAACACATTTCTGTAATCTTGATTGCCATGCCACTGCTCCCCCTGCAAAAGTAATCAAATAACCAGAAGTAGATTTTCGACTATCAACATCACCAGCCATATCAGAATCTGTGAACCCATCAAGAATAGGCTCGCCTTTACCAAAACACAAACTCATCTTTGAAGTGCCCTGAAGATACCTCATAATCCATTTCACTGCTGCCCAGTGTTCTTTCCCTGGATTAGACAAAAATCGACTGACAACCCCAACTGCGTGAGCAATATCCGGTCGAGTACAAACCATGGCGTACATCAAAGAACCAACTGCTGAAGCATAGGGAATTTTCTGCATCTCATTTCTCTTTTCATCACTTGTAGGACACTGACTTGAGCTTAGTTTGAAGTGGCCTGCAAGTGGACAATTAACAGGCTTTGCTTTGTCCATATTGAACCTCTCAAGAACCTTTTTAATATAATTCTCTTGAGATAACCAAATCAGCCCATGTGATCTGTCACGAACAATTCTCATCCCAAGAATTTGCTTTGCTGGACCCAAATCCTTCATGGCAAAGGACTTACTCAACTCTGACTTCAACTTGCTAATCTTACTCGTGTCTTGGCCCACAATAAGCATATCATCAACGTAAAGCAAGAGAATAATAAAATTACCATCTTTATATTTCTTCACAAACACACAATGGTCTGAAGTGGTTCTTGAATACCCATTCTCACTCATGAAAGCATCGAATTTTCTGTACCACTGCCTCGGTGCTTGCTTCAATCCATACAAGCTCTTCTTCAATTTGCAAACTAACTGATCATTACCCTTATCTTTGAAGCCCTCAGGTTGCTCCATATAAATTTCCTCTTCTAAGTCACCATGCAAAAATGCGGTCTTCACATCAAGCTGCTCAACTTCTAAATTCATACTCGCAGCTATACCAAGCACAGTTCGAATGGAGGACATCTTCACAACTGGTGAGAAGATCTCATCAAAATCAACTCCCTTTCTCTGATCAAAACCTTTCACGACAAGTCGTGCCTTGAATCTCGGTTGAGAACTGTTCCCATCATTCTTTCGTCTGAAGACCCATTTATTTTTCAAAATTTTCTTCCCTTTAGGCGGCTTCACCAAATCATAGGTGTGATTCTCATGCAAAGACTTCATTTCCTCTTTCATTGCCTTGAACCATTCAGTTTTGTTCTCATGCTTCAAGACTTCTTGATAAGTCCCTGGCTCCCCCTGATCTGATATCATCACATACTCATTTGAAGAATATTTTCTGGATGACTGTTTTTCTCTAGTAGATCTCCTTAACGGTGTCTGTGGTAGTGGCTCTTGGGGTGGTTGCTCCCCCTCAATCTCTGGCTCAACATCATCTTCTGCTGCATCATCATGAGGTGTTTGCACTTCCTCATCAATATCATGAACAACAGAGGGATTGAGAGGATCTAAATCAACAAGATCATCAGTACTAGACTCAGCTGACTCAAGCTTGTCGATGTCTTCAATAGTCTGATCTTCCAAGAAAACAACATCTCGGCTTCTGACAACTTTCTTGTCAACTGTATCATACAACCTGTATCCAAATTCTTCATGCCCATAGCCAAGAAATATGCATTGCTTTGCTTTTGGATCAAGCTTGGACCTTTCATCTTTTGGAATATGAACAAAAGCTCTGCAGCCGAATACCCTCAAGTGATCATAGGAGACTTCCTTCCCTGTCCAAACTTTCTCTGGCACATCACCATTCAACGGAACTGAAGGAGACAAATTGATAAGATCAACTGCGGTCCTCATTGCCTCACCCCAAAAGGATCTTGGCAATTTAGAATGTGAGAGCAAACATCTGACTCTCTCAAGAATGGTGCGATTCATTCTCTCTGCAACCCCGTTCTGTTGAGGTGTCTTTTTAACTGTCTTTTCATGCCTGATACCATGATTTGTGCAATACTGATCAAATGGTCCAATATATTCACCACCATTATCCGAGCGAACACATTTCAACTGTCTACCTGTTTCTCTTTCAACCTTGGCCTGAAAAATCTTAAACACATCTAGAACTTGATCTTTAGTTTTCAGTGTATAAGCCCAAACTTTTCTAGAGTGATCATCAATAAAAGTGACAAAGTATAGAGCACCACCAAGTGTCCTAACTTTCAAAGGACCACATACATCAGAATGTACCAAATCTAAAACATGAGATTTTCTAGATGCAATGTTTCTACGGAATGATATTCTGTTTTGTTTACCATGGAAACAATGAACACAAGTTTTCAAAGGCGTACCTTTTATCCCCACTAGAAGCTCTTTCTTGGACAAAACTTGCAATCCTTTTTCACTCATATGTCCAAGCCTTCTATGCCATAAATCAGTGGATGAGTCATTCTCTAAGGTATTCACAACACCCTTGCAGATTTTTGTTTGCATAGTGTAAAGAGAACAAGTCTTCTTTCCTTTTGCTACCACTAGAGAACCTTTGGAGAGCTTCCATTTTCCATTACTGAAATTGTTGATGTAGCCTTCATCATCTAACTTTCCAGCAGAGATTAAATTGAGTCGAATATCTGGTACATGCCTCACATCTCTAAGCAGCAATTTGCATCCAATATTTGTTTCCAAGCAAATGTCACCCATGCCGACAATTTTTGACACATCTTCATTTCCCATACGGACATTCCCAAAATCACCTTGTGAGTAAGAAGTAAAGAAATCAGCCCGCGAAGTAACATGAAATGAAGCTCCAGAATCAATTACCCAATCCGTCTCTTGGCCAATCAAATTAACGCTAGCATCATCACGGATAATCATGAGTTCATCATCGGTAACTACAGCTGTATCAATTTGCTTTTTCTCTGAATTTTTCTCTTTGTTCTGCTCCTTGAACTTGAGTTTTCTACATTCCCGCTTCATGTGCCCTTTCTTGTGACAATAATAGCATTCAACATCCTTTTTTGACATCGAGCTTGAACGACCTCTAGATTTATCACGGTTGTGCGGAACCCTACTCTTACTCCTGCCTCTCCCCCGGTTTTCCATTACAAGTGCCTCGGAGTAAGAAGAACCTGATGATTTTCTTCTTGTTTCTTCATTCAACAAACTGCTGGTAACTTGACTCATTGTTACCACTCCATCAGGTGCGGAGTTACTAACTGTGACCACCAAAGTTTCCCAGCTTTCGGGAAGTGAACTAAGAAGTAACAAAGCTTGCAACTCATCATCAAAAGTAATTTTCATGGCGGCCAACTGATTCACAATGCTCTTAATCTCATTCAAATGCTCTGCAATAGAAGTATCCTCCTTATATTTAGAGTTCACAAGCTTTTGAAATAAAAAGGCTTTATTCACTGCCGTCTTTCTATCATACAAACTCTCCAATTTGGTCCAAAGACCATGTGCAGATTTTTCTGTAGAGACATGATGAAAGACACTATCATCAATCCATTGTCGAATAAAACCGACAGCTTTCCGGTCTAGCTTTTTCCACTCGTCATCTTTCATCCCTTCCGGTTTGCCATTATCACCCTCTATGGGTCCATTTAAATCTTTACAAAATAAAAGATCTTCCATTTTAGTTTTCCAAGTCACCCAATTTGTGCCATTGAAACTAACCATACGTCCAACGTTGCCGTCCATAATTCACACACAGAAATATAACGAATCGAAACCGAATTAACCAATTGCTCTGATACCAGATGTTGGGAAAATAGGCTTTCCCACAAGTGTAAATCAATGGAAGCAATATAAATAAAATAACAGAAAATAAATAAGCACACAAGATTTACGTGGTTCCCTCAAATAACTTGAGGTACATCCACGACGACCGGTAGGTCAGTTTCTTTCACTATCACCAAATCAGATTACAAAGTGGCCAAAAGGCATAAGCCTTACAAACACACCAAGGTGTAAATCACAAGAGGAAAATACCTCACAAAATAAGTGAACCAAATCTCCAAGAACAAACCGCAATAAACCCAAATATCAAGTGAAGAAATATTACCCACTTGAAGAACAAATTTACAGATTTTTCTGGCACCAAAAAGGAGAAGAAGAAGGCTGAATTTTTGTTGAACCAAAGACTGCCGAAAAATATGTCTTCTTGCCAAACCAACAGAGAATAGATGAACCAAAGAAAAGGACAAAACTTATAGTCTTTGATGGCTGCCAAATTCCTTTTTAACTAGAAGACTCCAAACCAAGCCTTGGATAAGAGTCCTACACGGGTAAGCCACCAAAAAATTAGCAAATTGATGAGTCCCACAAAGGAGGGAAACCCAACATAAAGGGTCATTGATGACTATTTTAATCTCCAATTGTTGCTGCTATGTCATGCCAGATTTGTATTTTTTTTTCCTGAAACATATTTTCACTTTTTTCATGTAGAATTTATCATGTGCTTTGTGTTGTTAATACCATAGAAAAGAACAGTGGTGTAAATGCTTTCTTCTAGGCATTTATCTTACACAAATGTATCTATAGGAGAAAAATAAGCAGCGTTGGATTGGCCATTTCATCTTATCCACATTTGGCAGTGTCTGAGACTTTCTTTTTATTTTCACATCTTAATTTTGGAATTCCTCATATTTTGGAAACTATGATGTGAAGTAAAGTGCAGTTGCTTATATTTTCTATAGGGGCCTTGAGGTTGAGGGTTTCAACTCCACTTGTATTTAGTCCTATCTCTACTGCACGTTTCATGCATGTGTTTCAAAAAAGTTGGTGACTGGTGATGGATCATCTGCCAATGACAATTCCAAATATGATACAGAAAATAATGTGGATCAGTAATTTATAACATTGTGAGACGAGCTTGATGGTGAGGTTCAACCTAACAGAGAAACAGTATTGCAAAATTTGCAGCTTAGAGTCATTTTCATTTCACCAAATAATTGAGATCATTTTTGTAGAAGTACCACAGAAACAAAAGAAAAACAAAATTATCTGATTCGATGCTTATGCTTTCACTACTGTAACAGGTCTGTGGCAGATTATCTCTCTGAGGATCTTCCATATAAACTATCGCCGGATGATGTTTGTCTCACTGTTGGTGCCCGTCATGCAATTGAAGTAATATTGACAGTTCTTGCTCAACCTGGTGCCAATATCTTACTTCCTAGACCAGGGTATCCATATTATGAAGTTGTGGCCACATTGAGCCATCTTGAGGTCCGCCACTTCGATCTTCTCCCAGAACAGGGTTGGGAGGTTGATCTTGATGGTTTGGAAGCATTAGCAGATGATAACACTGTTGCCTTAGTTATCATCAACCCTGGAAATCCCTGTGGGAATGTTTTCACGTATGACCATTTGCAAAAGGTTAGTTGCACTATTTCACAGGAACTAAGAATGCCTATTTTGATTTTGACTCAAGTGGTTGTTGGGTTGCAAAACCACTTTTAAAGGTTGCGAAGACTGCAAGAAAACTTGGAATTCTTGTGATTGCGGATGAAGTTTATAGCCATCTAGCATTTGGAGGTAACCCATTTGTGCCAATGGGAGTGTTTGGATCAATTGCACCTGTTCTTACAATTGGGACATTATCAAAGAGATGGATTGTTCCTGGTTGGCGTCTTGGTTGGATTGCAACTACTGATCCCAATGGCATCCTTCAAAAATCTGGGGTTTGCTCTCTCTCCACCTTTTTTTCGAGTGCATGTGCTTGTGTTTTGTTTCATTCATTCTCTACCTGGTATTTACTTATGTTCTTATGCTACATTGTGCATAAAAAAGTTGCATCATGGGAATTGAAAAAGTTGCACACCCTCCCAATTTCACATTACACAAAACAAAACTACAGAAGAGAAAAAGGTGGAAAAATGTTTCCTACATAACATCCATCATTGACATATCCTGTGTCCATATATTTGATAGAATTTGATTATAAATAAAGCAAACTAAACTCATCCAGTTCAAATGGGACCATCACTGTTCAGTAGTTTTGTTTCATGCTAACATACCATATTTGGTCATAAAATCGATGCATCAAATAAAACATAATATCCCTTCTACATATAACCTTGATTTAGATTTCCAACTCTGATTTGGTGGCTTCGCATGTAGACCTACACTAGGAGAGACAGATTGTGGAACCTAAATTGTGATGTTTCCAATGATTCCTGCTATGCCAGATTTGAGAAGGATTGCAGCCAAAGAATTAGTAGGTAGTGTTTGGCATATTTTGTTTGTCGAGAAGTCAATGTAGTAAGAATCTTATAACTCGGTTATGCTTTTAGCAGGAAACGTTTAGCTCTTGAAATGTTTTGCTATATTTATGTTTACTAACCAGAATGTGATTGTGTTGCACATGAAAGTATCGTGATTCAGTGATGACTATTTATACAAATTGCTAAAGGGTAGCTAAGTGCATGAAACTTCCACCACTGAGGGAGGGTCAGATGATGTAGCCTTACTCCCGTCTGCAGAGAAACTTTTTCTGTTATACATACAAAATACTGAAGTGGCAAAGCAATACATAGACCTACTAAGAAAATGAAGCAATAAACATTAAGTATTACATTTAAGAACCAATACTACGCTTATACATGAATATCAACACATTGTACCAGCTGTGGTTGACCAGTGTTTTGAGACCAACTTTTAGGATAATTAAGGGTTGTCATCTCAAAAGTTAAGTGTTGCAGTTGCCAGTTATTTTGAGTAGAATAAATACGGCTTGAAGGCACTAGCTAGTTTAACATGAAGACACAAATCATCAAGATAAAGTTAAATGTGGTTGATTATTGGATTTTTTCCATAATCTTAAGAAAAACAGAGGGAAAGAGTGTATCAAATATATTCTAACTCACCCAATTGTGCAACAAAAGGCATATGAAAATCATTCTAAAACATATTGTTAAAGTTCGTCAATTTGCATGTGCGTACTAGATATACTATAGTGCATGTTTTTTTTTTTTTTCTGGGTAAGTACAATAGAGTGCATGTTGAGGATTAATAAAATAGAGTGCTCTGTCACAATAAAAGTGGGGTAATAAAATAGAGAACCATTTCTTTGAATCCAAATATATTTCATAAATTCAGCTCATCTACATATAGGCACATATGCCTTGACAACTTATAACAAAGTTCGTGTTGTATCACATAGTTCTATTGCCTTTTGATTTGTTATCCGCTTTCAGGTTCTTTATATATAGAAGCATATGTTGCAAAAATTTATGATAAGGGTCTTGTTGTATCATGTAGTGATATAATATTTGATTTGTTTATTTGTTTTGGTTCTCTCCTCTCAGATTGTTGAGTCAATTAAGAGCTATCTTGAAATTGCTGCTGATCCTGCGACTGTTATTCAGGTATGTGATTCAAGATGCTTCTTTCTCAAGATATAATTAATCTTAAGAGGTGCAGTACTTTACAAATTTACGATAATACAGTATTCACTTACGAAATAGACTTTGTATCCATTTTGTGTTGGAGTAACTCTACTTGTTCTTCCTTTTCTTTCTTTTTAGTGTAGACGGGGTTGGAGCCACATATTTTGGGTTGGGCTCAAATGACCTCAGATTGGGCTAATAGTTTTTCATTTTCCATCTCATAGAAAACCCTTTTTACTCTATGACTGACCAGCAATTACTAGTGGAATTTCTGCATATTTGATGAAAAGGATGTCACATGGGAGTTATAAGTGTTGCATAACGAAATCTCCTCAAGCTCTTGATATTCCATTTCATTATAACGCATTAGTGGCACAACAGTATTTCTTTCCAGTGGATACAAATAACTAGGGTTCAGTTTTTAATGTCAGAGAGATGATGAATTAGAAAGTGAAAGAATTGTGCTTCAAGTAAGCATGAGAATACTAGTGTTGCAACTGGAACAAATGTCATACGTTCTAGGCTATGGTTGAGGAGCGTTAATCCTACAAGCAATTTTCTATCAGTGATCTAAAAGTATGTTTCTTGTTTCCTGGAGCAGATCAAGTGATAATGATTTTATGGCTGTCTCAGGGGGCGGTTCCTCAGATCCTAGAGAAAACTACTGGGTGTTTCTTCCAGAAGATTATTACTGTACTCACAGAAGCTGCAGATATTTGTTATGGTGAACTCAAAGAGATCCCTTGCATTACTTGTCCACACAAACCAGAAGGGTCCATGTCTGTAATGGTATAGACAAAGTTGAAACTCAAGCGTTTCTTTTTGTGAATAAATGTCGAAGGTGTTTTTACCTGGGATTACATTTTCCTTGTAGGTGAAGCTAAATCTGTTGGTACTAGATGGCATAGAAGATGATATGGATTTTTGTACCAAGCTTGCTAAAGAAGAGTCTGTTATCATTCTACCAGGTAAGCAATGAAAGTATCATTCAGAAACCAAGAAATAACAATCATTGGTATTTTATGGATTCTCTCTATGTTCTCAACACTATGGTTAGTAAGACAATAAAAGACTCCTATGCATATGTGGTGTAGCAACCCATCTGTAGAATACCATGAATTTCGAAAAGGTGGTTGGTTGAATGAGCTTGAGAACATAAAATTTCTTGCAGGTGTTGCTGTGGGACTGAAGAATTGGCTCCGTGTAACTTTTGCCATTGAGTCGACACCTCTTAAAGATGGCCTAGGCAGAGTGAAAGCCTTCTGCTTGAGGCATGCTAAGAAGGAATGAGATTTACTCGACATTCATCCAATCTCATCAAATTTACCAACAAGTAGGTGTTGGTTCTCTTACATTTGATCTCTTACTCACTTGTTACGCTTGCAGTCAATGGTAACATGGATTCTGTGCTGCTTGTGGCCGATGTGTATAATTGTTAATGCATTTGTCTTGATTTCTGAAATAATCTAAGAAAAGAACTTGTAGGTTTTATGGATTTCTTTTGGTGGAAGTTCGTTCTTTTTATTTTCCTGGTTAATTTTGGAAGTCAAGAATCAAAATTTCCATTTTTTTTGTTCTGTGGATGAGTAATAAAAAATTCCTTGTATGAGGAAATTATGAGTTCTATTTCATCCTGAATCCTAATCAAGACCATATGGCATTTATGTTTTTGTAAGTATCATGTCAGCAATATGATTTTCATTGATCTTGCAGTTGTTCGAAAACCATCATTTTTAAGGATGAAATCTGTGAGGGGTCAAGTCACATAGGAAAAAAATTTAGGGTTAATCATAAATTGTACCCCGAAAGATCTCTTAAAGCTCAATTTGCACCCTCAAAGACCAAAATCTTAATTTACACCCTCAAAGATATAAATATGTATTAATGTGTACTTGAAGTTAACAACCATCAGTTTGTTGTTTAAAATTAAATGGTTAAATTATACCTAGACTTCCTCATATTTGTCACTTAATTATCTGAATCTCCTCACATTTGAAATATTATACCTACATCCCCTGAGAATTCAAATATAACTAAAACTGTTTCCTAATTGGAAATTTAAATAATTTTGTTCAAGTGATTTATTGCTATAGATATAAAGAACATTATATAATACTGATGAGGGTGGAATTTTTGGAATGGGCTACCACGGCCTATGCGCTCAATACATCTTGAGAATCCAAAGGCATGGTTTATTGGCCCAAAAAGGTGCCTCTGGTTAGCCCACATCGGGAGCAACAAGAGTAAACGCCCAATGGCTCTAGAAGGCCAGTAGTCAAGCCCCAGCCTAGTCCAGTACCAGCTGAAGGACCATCCGAGAATGAGGAGTCAAATCTTTGCCCTAGAAGCATCCCGTCATGCCCCGCGTCCAAAAGACAAAGGGACCATCTCTGAAACCTATGACAGTTACACCCTCCCGGGCGTCGAGGATGGTGGCGCGTAACGATCCAGAGATCATGAAAAAAGTAGCGCTGGTTAACAGAGGCTTTTGCAAGACCAGGATGGGAGGTCCCCATAGGATGAGCAAAAAGGTAGAAGGAACCACCAAGAACCTTAAGAAGAATTAGTATAAATAGAATAGTGTAAACCTACGAAAAAGGATCTCCCCCCCCCAAGAGATTCCCCTGCCCTAGATATAGAAGAAACAAAGCTTAAGCTTCTGTAAAGGCTCAGTACCGATGATCCCGATATACTCACCTTATTCTAATACACGACCTTAAAGAGCAAGAGACTCCATTATAGTGGATGTAGCATTGGCCTTTCAACTAAGGTAAATCACTTATGTTTTGGGCCTTCCATTACTTACGAATCAACCAATCATCAGATCAAACTCACTGATCCAGATAGTAATTCGTTAATCAGGCTTGGGCCATTGTTTCCGAGACCCCATCAGTTGGCGCCGTCTGTGGGAACGATTTTCATCGTTCTTTTGAGTTTTTATCTATTTGATGGTTTCAACTCGGAATATGATTAAAGCTCCAGCCAATCCCCAAGTCCACCAAAACTCGCCAGAGAACTTCCCGGTCCGGGAAGTGGACGCCAAGGATCATCTTCTAGAGTCAAACCTCCCTCCGCTCAATGAACTAGAAACCTACCATCGAACTACGATGAAATTAATGAAGTGGAACCAAGAGATAATGGAATGGATACAGATGCATCAGCTCCCTCGATTCCCACCAGCTTGACAGGAGCCCCCTCCACCCCTAGCAGAACACAACGCCTCTCACCAGGTGCGCCAACTTCCACCAAATAGGGTCACCAAACTCCATGAGGGCAGCCACTCTGGGAAAAATCAACAGAGGAGACCCACCGAAGAACACGACGAAGATAAAGCCCACAGTCGGGCTGGAGTTGCCTTTCGAGAAGAGAGGCCCCATCCCCTGCTGGACGCTAATGATCAGACATGGGAACAAAAAATTTGCGAACTCCAATGGGAGCTAGGCAATGTGAAAGAGGTGGTCAAGGGAAAGATTCTCGACACCATGGCCACTATGGTCCAGCAAACCGAGGCACCATTCACTCCCGAGGTCCTTCATTTTCCTCTCCCCCAGAAATTTTGAATGCCTTCGATAAAGACGTTCGAAGGGACCAAGGACTCAGTTGACCACTTGAATTCCTATAAAAACCAGATGAAACTCCAAGGGTACCCAGGCCCAATCCAATGTCGAGCGATCGCCATCACCTTTAAGGGGTCGGCAATATCCTGGTTTAATAGGAGCTACGTGTAGCGCTTCAACCAGGAATGTCTAAAGAGGGAGAGTGTGGACGATAAGTTCACACTGACCACCTTCATGTCCATGCTCGGAGTGCAGTCTAAAAACCTCCTCTTCTCGATCACGAAGAACCCTCAAGCCACTACGGCTGAGGTATTAGCAAAAGCCAAGAAATACATCAATGGTGAAGAAGCCCTCCGCTTGAAAGGAAGCTCGACGGCGATGGAAAGAGACCAGAAGAAAAGGGACCGCAATCCCAAGAAAGAGAAAAGATGCGATCGATCCCTGAGAAGGGACCGTTCCCCAAGGAGAGGGAGGGAGCCTTTTCCTAAAAGGAGAGGCAACGTCCAAGACTGCCTGGGGGCCCCTCCATAGGAATTACAGTTGCGATATGCACCAGCGCGGCTTCCACCCCTCGTCACCTCGATCGCTCAAGCCTTCCACTAGGTCCAGAACGAAAGATTCATCCAGTGGCCGCCTCGAATGAAGTCAGACCCCAGTAGGCGGGACGCCACCAAATATTGCGAATACCACAAGAGATACGGGCCATGAGACAAACGATTGCATCCAGCTCAAAAATGAGGTTGAGTACCTAATCCAAAGGGGCCACCTACGCCATTATGTGACAAGAGAAGGAAGACTTCAGAACAACAAGGGGTGGGAAGCCCGAGCTACTGTGGCACCTCCTCAGCCGCATTAGCAAGCTCTCAGTGAAATTCGAGTCATCTCGGGATGCTTTGCAAGAGGAGGAGAGTCTAGTTCAGCACGAAAGGCATACGCTAGAAGAGCACGTTCAGAAGATCACCTTGAAATCTAGGTCGTCTAGAAGGCACCCTGACAAGAAGTAGAGATAACCTTTTCGAATGCGGACCCACATGACGACCTCCTGTTCATAAAGGCAATCATTGTTAACAAAACTTTACAGAAAGTGCTCGTCGACAATGGAAGCTCCGCAAATATCATCTTCTTATCGACTTTCGATCAGCTCGGCATAGAAAGATCAAAGCTCGAGCCCGTGAAATCCTACTTATTGGGCTTCTCGGGCAAGAAGGTCTTGCTAATTGGTTCTATCCAGCACGTCCTCGCCATAAGAGAACAGCCCTGTCAGGTTACAACCAATGTTCGATTCCTAGTAGTAGACGCCCCGTTTGCTTACAACATTCTGTTGGGAAGGCCATCTCTCAATTCCATCAAGGCAATACCTTCGGCGTACCATTTGATGATGAAGTTTTCCACTGAAAACGGGATCGGCATGGTCAGGGTGGACCAATGCCTGGCTAGAGAATGCTATGTTGTGTCAATGAGGCAGAGAGATGTGGAATCAGTCCAACTAGAAGACCTGGACATGAGAAACGAATTGGACACTAGGCCTACCCCTACAGAGTAGCTAGAGCCCATGCAGCTGGACGAGGATTCAGAACACGTGGTTTACATAGGTTCCATATTGCTCCCACTCATTAAGGAGAAGCTCATCTCGTTCCTGAAGGAGAATGCTGACGTTTTTGTCTGGAAACAAAAGGACATGGAGGGAATAAACCCTCGCGATGATCATACATTGAATGAGCGTCGACCCGTGCTACAAGCCCATCAGATAAAAAAGAAGGAGTTTCGCGCCAGAAAGGCAAAAAGTTATTAACGAGGAGGTGGCCAAGCTACTGCGGGCCAAAGCCATCAAGGAGGTTGATTACCCGACCTGGCTGGCTAATGTCGTGCTCGTAAAGAAGGTAAACGGCAAATGAAGACTCTATATCAACTTCACTGACCTAAACCGGGCATGCCCTAAAGACAGTTTCCCCTTACCTCAAATAGACCTGATAGTCGACGCCACTATTGGCCATGAGCTCCTCAGCTTCATGGACGCTTTTTCAGGCTACAATCAGATCAGAATGGACCCCAACGACCAAGAAAAGACATCGTTCATCACAGAGTAGGGGGTTTACTGCTACCAAGTGATGCCTTTCGGCTTAAAGAATACCGGAGCCACTTATCAGAGGTTAGTTAATAGAATGTTCAGCGAGAAGCTCAGTCTGACCATGGAGTATACATAAACGATATGCTTGTAAAATCCCTTAAGGACGAATCTCATGTCCACCATCTCGGGGAGTCCTTCAAAATTATGCGCCAATATAGAATAAAGTTGAACCTAGCGAAATGCACTTTTGGAGTGTCGGCAGGAAAGTTCCTGAGATTCATAGTCAACAGCAAAGGTACCAAGGCAAACCTCAAGAAGGTTAAGGTCGTCGTTCAAATGAAGCCCCCCACCAACATCAGAGAAATGCAGTGCCTGACCGGGAGAATAGCGGCGCTCAACCAGTTCGTCTCACGATCAAGTGATAAATGTCAACTTTTCTTCAAAGTCCTGAAGGCGGCCTTCCAGTGGAACGAGAAATGCGAAGAAGCCTTCCAGGCCCTTAAGGCTTACTTGGCCTCCCCGCCTGTGTTGGTGAGCCCGAAGACTAAGGTCATACTTCCAGGCGCATACCATTAAGGTCCTAATAAACCAGCCGATGAGGCAAGTCTTGCACAAGCCAGAGGCCTCGGGAAGATTCGTCAAATGGGTGATGGAGCTTAGCGAAT